TTCTCTCCTCCCACCCATCTTCTTTTAGCCCTAATTATGATATTCATTTAAGTACGTTTTTTTTTTAAATATATTCCTTTCACCAGAAACTGTAAAAGCTGATCCAAATCTGTTTCACCCATGATCTCTGGAATATTTTGTTTAACAAATGTAAAATCCAGTCAGTCTTCTCCAGTGCTTTTTCCAGGATGTCTGTCACTTTTTCAGAAAACACACGTGTTTGAAAAGGGAAACTACTGTAGGGCTCTGAATTTGTAAAGCTAGAGTATTGTAAACATGAGAAGCAGCATAGATGGCTTGAAAATGGGGTTGGATGTTAGAACTAGGATTAGAATTAGGAATTCCTATCACTAACTCACTTTGTGCTCTTGGGAAAATCACTTAACCCCACTGCCTCAATTTCCCCATTGGTAAACAGGGATAATATTTGCCTAGGATACCTCACAAGGGTGTTATAAGGATTAATTACTTAATGTTTGTACAGAGTTTTCACACATAATTATTAAATTCTTTATGTGCCAAATTTTGCCTCAGTTACATACATCAACTAATTAACTTCAAGAGGAGCCGCACTCTTATATGTCAGAGAAGAATTTGGTCCTATAATAAGAGATCCTATTTCTTAATTTTTATGTTTAAATTGCATTTATTTTCAACACACATTTAATGCTTTTCAAATTACCAGATTGATAGTCCTCAAGGCTTTGATTCCTCTGTATGCTCACAGAACAGGTTTGGAATGGGTAGCAACAATACAAACTTCTCATTTAGTCTGCCTAGAAGGACAGCAGTTCAGAGGGTAATTCCTCCTCCATATTCATTCAGTACTAGACCTGTCTGCTGCCACTGCCAACAAAGGTGTGCAATTTCAATGGTGGCTTTTGTAGGGCTAACACCTAAAAACAGGTCTAGAAATAAAGAGAAGATTTCATTATTCTAATGAATAACATCCCTCCTTGTTTTTTTAGCATTCTTTTTTCTAGAAGCATTTAAGGGTTCTACTTTAAGGTCCAAATTCTGTCCAGATGTAAAGCTTTTGGCTGATTTTGGCTCCGAGGGGAAACAAACATGAGGTAGAATGACACATTCATTCCTGCTTGTTTCTTTCTTTAAATACATCATCCAATTCCCAGGTAACAGACAGCTGCTGCCATGAAGCAGCTAGCCCCTTTTCATCACTAATTGTAATTCAAGTGCCAAGAGTGCTTCCCACTGCATGAGATTTAGCTCCTTAGTTTCATAAAATCAAAGCACCCCTGCTATGAGAGCTATACTGTAATGTGTATGTTAAAAATGATTGGAATATTCTTGGTTAGCAGGATGTAACTTTTTTCCCTCCTCCCTAAAATAAGTCACCTACTTTTATTTATTTACAATTTTTCCCCCACAAGAAGCACCATCTCATTTTAATGAGTCCTAGGGGACTGCATGCAAACATACACACATATTCATGCAGCTACCAAACACATAGCATGAAAATCCTTTTACAAAAAACATTAGCTCATTAATTTACATACAGCAAACAGATTCATGAGGGAGAGCTTTTGATCTTTTCACTGCATGTTACAAAACAATGTTTAATTTTAACTGACCACAGCACAGTTTAGACCACCTTTAAATATGACCTGCATTGCTACAAAATGACGAGCTTGCATCTATTGACAAGGTTTCTCCACCCTGAAACTGAGGTGCTGAATAATTTTGCTGCAAACAATAACTTGATTTAGCACCTAAATATCCCTAATGTAAAGATGATGCATTTGTTAAATGCATTGAATTTGGTACATTTTATATTATGTTTCACCACCTAAATATACATTTCACAAAAAATAAAATTATTACATTAAATAATAATTCCAGAACACAAGATGTTTATGAAGTGATACCACATGCTGATTTAACAGAAGTTTGGGTTTTTTTTAATTTGACTGAAATAGCATTTTAAAATGTCATGTTTGAATTTCTATGTTGTTGGGTTTTTTAATTGAAAAAAATAAAACCCTATTGTCCGATTACAATGTTAAATCAAGGACCTGATCCAAAGTCAATTAGAGTCCATGGAAAGACTCTCATTAACGAAGGAATGCCCTTAAAGAACCATTTTCCCTCCAAATACTTCAGTGATCTTTTTTGATCTAACAAAATGCAAAAGGATCCTTAGAAGTACAGTTCTTGAAAAATTATTGAAGACAGCTGCATTAGAGATTCATACCTATATGACTATGTCTATGTTTATGATTCATTAGAAAGAGCCACTGTAAAAAATACAATATTTCAGCAATATTATAAACAAACTGCAAAAATTATACTGAAACTCTTCCTGGAAATACTGGGGACAGTGAGACAGCTTACTGGACTCTTTCCCCTTTAACCCTACTACAGGCCAGTTTAGCTGGGAAATCTCTTCTCAAAATTTCCCTTGAGGGTGGGGATTGCAGATTTTAAGTTTCTCTAGAGCTCCAAATTCCTGCCAAACTTTTGAATTTTGACCTTAGTCAAAATGGCTGATGTTTCCCATTACTTCCAATGGAACTAAAGCCACAAGCTGCCCTCTGTCAAGATGGCTACCATTTTCCTATAGTATTAGTAGTATTTTATTATGTATTTGTATTATCGTAGCACCTAGGAGTTCCAGTCATGGATCAGCCTTTGACCATGAAAGCAAGGTAGTCCCTAGTAAAGATGGGCACCAATTCCCATATTTTCCCAATATGACTGAAGCCCAGATGGACCTCAAGGAAGATAGTCATGCTCTTATACTCTATGGCTAGGGAACTGGAAAGGAACTGTGAAGAGAAAGAGGAATATGGGAAGCCTAAGGAGATGGAGGGAAATGTGAGGCACAGGATGGGGACTGAGGAGGTGCAGTGGAATGTGGGGTGCAGACAGTAAAATGAGGACAGTAAAAGAGGGAGAAGATAAGGAGAATGAGAGGAAAATATAGGGGGAAGGTGAGGGGCAATAGACTGTGTGGGAGCATAGCGAGTGAATGGAAGTGAAGCATGAGTTGGGGCATGGAGGGAGACAGGATAGTGATGAAGGAGGAGAATAGAGAGGGATAAAATGGCAGTTTCCTACAACCAGGGAATAGGCGAGGGTAACTGGAGTGCAGTGAAGCCTGCATTTGTGCATGTGCATTTAAGGTTGAATTTTGAACCTGTAAAGATGATGATCACACACTGTTTAGAGTGTTGGCAGCTTTTTCCAGATATTCAAATAAGAGGGCAGGTAAAAAAAACAAACAAACCACTATTATTTTTTAAATTTCATGATTTAGGGGGAGATCTGACCCACGATTTTTGAATGTCTTATGTTGGCAGTGGTGGGATTTGCACTTTGGGGGGCACTATAGATTTAAGCCCCTTGGAGAGCCTCCCCTGATGGGGTTTTGGCAGCTGCTGCACTAAGTGGGCTCAATCCCATCCACTAACAGCAGCCTTTCTGTAGGAGGTATGTTAGCAGAGACCCCAGCACTGATTGTCCCTCCTTGGAGTCCCCTCATTGAACCCCTCCCTTTTTATCACTGATTTACTTCTTTGCGGAGCTACCCCTCCTCTCCCATTCATCTAGTCTGCAGCCTCTGGGACACCTCATCGCTGATTCCCTAGCCCTGACTGCATCCTTGGGGATTCTCCCACCCCACTCTCTGAGGAAAAGCAGTTAGACTGGCTATATATCTGACAATCTCAGTGAACTACTTAGGCTGTCAGCTTCTCATCTGGAAAAGAAGTGCTGTTTTGAGGCTGTGGTGGCATGGGGGAAGGCATAGGGACAGAGTGTATAGGGTGGGTCTTAGGAAGCTTCTGGGCACAGGCTGTTGGGGTAGTTATTGGAGGGGCTGAGGAGGCGGATTAAAGGGAGGGTTGCAGATACCAGTGTTAAGCGAGTTGTAAATAATAAGTAAGGGACAGGTGCAGGGGGTATAGGGTGTGTACTAGAAGGGCTGCAGGGGTGATGAAGGCAAAGGAGTTGCAGGTGTGTTGAGGGGTGGGCCAGGATTATTAAAGAACGGTAAATGGCTTGATATCTGTAATGGGCGAGTCAGGATAGGTGTCGGGGAGCAATTATGATAATAGGGTGTCGGAGGGAACGCTGTGAGGCTGCAGAGGGGAATAGGGTGGAGGAACAAATGTTAGAGGGGTTTCAGGGAGCGACTGGGGGAGGAATGTAGGGGAGTGATGGGCACTGAAAGGGGAGTAATGGGGACAGCAGAGGTGCCCGCGGGGGTGATTTAGAAGAAAGTTGCATTTGGGGAAGGTTGCAGTGGGGTGATTTAGGACGGGAGAGATTATTATGGGGGCTGTGAGGAGTGATTTAGGGGAGGGATGCAGGGTGTGTGCTTTTTTTGGAGGGGGGCGTTGGGGCTGCAGGGGTGTGTGCTGTAGGTGGGGGCCTGCCGGGGTGATTTAGGGGAGGATGTGGGGTGAGGGAGGCCAGGGCGTAAGGACGGGGCTCACCTCTGTCCTCCAGCCCTTCGCTGAACTGTCCGCTCTCCCCGATCCGCAGCTGTTCCTCCTGCTGGTCCCGGGAGAGGTAGGGCGGGGTGGTCCCGGGGGGTTGCACGATGGTGGGGTCCGGGGGGCTGGCCGGGTCGCCCCAGGCTGCGGCCGGCTCCATGTCTCGCGGAGTGGGAGAAGGCGGCAGGAGAGCGTGGCAGGGCAGTGAGGAGTGAGCGGAGCATCCAGCACGGGGGGAGGAGGAGACTGGGCTCAGAGCATCGGGGGGATGGGGACAGACGGCAAACAAACTCCCCCGGCGGCTCCCTCCAGCGGCTCATCGCCAGCCCCCGGGCAGGTGGGGAACCAGAACAGCTTCCCGGCTCCTCAGATGGGGGGGGGGGGGGGGGGCACAGCGGCGCCCCCCCCCCCCCCCCAGCTGGGGGCAGGGCTGCAATTAGAGGCCCCGCCCAGCCCCAGAGGGGAGTTCAAGGGAGCTGCAGTGGGTGACCCCTCCTAGCTAGTGGGGGGGCTGTAATCACAGGTCCCAGGGGACGGGGCGCATAGAGAGCGGACACCCAGTGGGACGGGGTTACTGCAGCCCATGCACCGCAACACGCGGCTGGGGCGTCCCACGCGCGGCTGGGACGCGGCACCGCTCTGTGCCGGTGGGACCCGGCCAGGCAGCGTTTTCTGGGGAGAGGGGGAGGTAGGTGGTGGTTTGAAATCTCTTCCCAGCCCCTCTCGGCGCTGTTCTAAGGCTGTAAGCCAGGCCTGTAGGAGCGGGGTAAGAGAGCTGGGCTTCCCTGCGTTGTTCCCTGACTCAAGAGCCTGGATGCGAAGCCGCTACAGGAATTTGCTTCACTGCTCTTCGTTCTGTTTCGTTGTGGAGATTTGGGTTGGGGGGGGGGGGAGTTTAGGAGCTGCCATTCTTGGGGGGAGGGGAATCAAACTCAAGAGGATTTAGGTGATTTTTACCAGCGAAATAAGGACCCACTGTTGAGGATTTCACAGCAACTACTGCTGGCCAAGGAGGAATAATCTGTACAACCGGCCTTCCAAACTTACTTACACCCTGCCCTTCCTCACCCCACATGCTCCGCTCCCCTACATTATCCCTTACAGCCCCCCCATTCCCTCCCACATAACCTCCACAAACTTACCTACACCCTGCCCTTCCTCACCACACATCATCCCTTACAGCCCCCCCCCATGCCCTCCCACATAACCTCCACAAATTTACCTACACCCTGCCCTTCCTCACCGCACATCATCCCTTACGGCCCCCCATGCCCTCCCACATAACCTCCACAAACTTACCTACACCCTGCCCTTCCTCACCCCACATCATCCCTTACAGCCCCCCCATGCCCTCCCACATAACCTCCACAAACTTACCTACACCCTGCCCTTCCTCACCCCACATCATCCCTTACAGCCCCCCATGCCCTCCCACATAACCTCCACAAACTTACCTACACCCTGCCCTTCCTCACCTCACCTAAATCATCCCCTAGGCCCTTCCGCATAACCATCACAAACTTCATCTTCCTTTTAGCCCTGTGAAGTTTCCTTAACATGTACTTCAGAAACTGCAGTCTTTTCTTATCGAGGGCAGAAGCTAACACGTCTTACATTTTCAAAGCACACTAGTGAAGAAGGGAAGGGTCACTATCCCCATTGTACAGAAAGGGAAACTGAGGCACAGAGCGGTTAGTGCCCACATTTTCAAAAATCTCCACTGCTTTTAGGTACCTCACTTTGTAGGTGTCTAATGGGAGGTAGCTGGGGCAGGAGCCCAAAAATCAAATCAACCATTGATGAATGGGAGGGGATGGTGTGCATGTATATAAATTTTGCCCTAAAAGACTTCCCGACCCTCCCCCCCAAATACACATGGCAAGTCAGAGGAGAATTAATTAGAATTTAACACTTTCTGGTGCCTAGGTTGTGCTCAGTCCGCTAGTCTGACACATCCAAGGTTGCAGAGGAATGCAAGAAATACTGACTGTTTTAAAAATCTCCAAGGCATGTGGGGTGAAATAAACACTGACAAAAACCAATAACTTGTTCATAGCTATTCTGTTTTACTTTCCTGCTTGTTAGCAATGACTAAATAGAGATTTGTACCCAAATAGCATTTTCCTTCATCAGTGCTGGTAATAATCAAATATAGTGTATATGGAAAGGCAAGTGAGAGTTTGCACAAACACAGTTATATTTTAAGCTGCCAGAATCTAGGGGAGGTGCTTCATGCTTGCTGTAGTCAGCACTTTCATTAGAAAGAGACGTTCTTTCTAATGGTTTAATAGGACCTGTTTGGGAATGTTTACTGAAATATGAATATCCAAATGGCCTAAATCTATATTATATCTCTTAATCCTGGGTGCTAATCCTCAAGATGTATTCAACTGTACTTTAAAACATAAATTAATTAAATAGGAAAACTACATTTCAATAAACATTAAGGGTTGTGATGCAAGCTGATATTTTGAAACTTTCATAGAAGCCTATGAAATGCCATTATTTAGCAGAGTTACTTAATTGATGCTTTTGCAGTATTGTGGGGTAGGGGTTTATATTAGGGGGCTGTGGAGAGAGGGCTTGGTGTTCTTGGTTGTCTGAGCAGGTTGTTCCCTTGCTCCTGCATCTATTCTAAGCAAGGTCCTGCATCCCTTCACCTTAATCTCCTTTTCATCCTTACTCCCTTGCAGTGTTTGTGAACCCAGTGTTCTTGCTCCAGTTGTGAGCTCTGCATCAATATGCAACATCACAAGGCCCTGCGTATGTTATTTTTCTCATTAAATGGGTATTTAAGATAAAATAGTAACATTTTAATTATTTGGGTTAAAAGATATTCTTATACATATAAAATAGTCTGAGAGATTTTTCTAAACAAATTCAAACTCCATACAATGAAAGTAAGTGATTTTTAGAGACTATGTATGCATACTTCTCAACACTGGAACCTGCTAATGTGAGACACAAACCATCGACAGTACAATGAATGACCAAAATGTAGAACACCTACATTTTGTAACATCACACCATAAGTAATAGATCATAATGCTTGTTTTTCAAGAAAATCGGTTGTTAAGGTTTCTCAGTTCTGCAATTTGCTGAAGGTGAGCAGCAGAGGGTTGGGGGAGACACCCTGCCCAGGCTGCTTAAGCCTTCGCCAGGGTGGAGAGAGGATCCCAATACGGGCTTCTTGTGGGTCAGCAGGAGAGGGGGATTTGAGGAAGGAGTGGTGGTCCTGGTTCAGCTGCCCCCAATTCAATTCATGCCCCCCCAATTCAATAATGCTCAGCAGTACAACTTCTGCAGCTCCCCCTTCCTCCCCCCTGCCCCCCGGACAATTATTTCAGGATCTCCTCCCGACTTCCCTAGTACAATTAATATAGGCTTTCCCTATCTGCTTGGCTCCACCTCCACCGCTGCTTCTCCATCAGCAGCTCTGGGTCCTCTGCTCCTCTCTTCCTATCCTGCGAAGGGAAGGGCGCAGGTGACTGAGAGAGGTGCATGATGGTGTTTGGTTGGGGGATGACAGGTCAGCAGCCTGAGCAGACACCATTTTTGCAAGGAAGGGAGCAGAGTTAGCTAGAGCTGCTGGGCATTTTCTGTTTTTTCCCCTACTATAATCTATAGGATGGGTTAGGTTAAAAAATAAGTAGAAGTTAGGTTTGGGGGCTAAGTTAGCCTAAGTGGGGAGGAGTACGGGAAATGGAAGTTGCTATTGTGAGAAAAGTCAAAGATAAGTTGGAGACAAAGTGTTATGGGAAAGTAAGAGTTAGCAAGGACACGTCCCAGGGTTATGTTACTGTTATGTTTTGGTGTTTACTGGTTTAAGCCAGGTATGTAATAAATGTTTTTTGAGAATTATGAATGTTTTAGTAAAATGTGTATGTTGAAGGACATTGGTGCAGAAGTTAATTTAAATAATTTGTAATGTAAAGAGCCAATAAGAAGGTGGTAGAAATATAATTATGGTAAAGGGCAGTTTGATATTAATTTGTATTATAATGGAATATAACAGGAATAGTTTTGCTAAATTGTGAGAGAGTTCTAATTTACATCTAAAGGGTACCATTACGTTCCAGGATTACAAGGCTGTACAGGCAGTCCTTGGACTTATGACACAATTGGTTCTGAAAATTGCATCGTAAGTCAAAACGTCATAACTCGGAACCGCAATCCACTCCGTTGTGGGACCGAACGTCGTAAAGGTGAAACCAATTGTTGTAGGTCGAATCAGGGTGTCAATTCATAAGTGCCGTTCATCGAAAGTCAAACATCATAAAGTCGAGGACTGCCTGTACGTCACTCTGTTGTCACTGGACTGATCACCCATTGATCCAGGGCTGGCCTTACCATGAGGCGAACTGAGGTGGCTGCCTCAGGTGCCAGGTGGGGGCGCCACTAGGACCCAGAGTGTAGAAAATTGTGTCTGCTGCTGGTGCATATGTATTCTCTCTGCTCTAGATGCACAGAAATGGTGGAGTGCTGTGCTGGAGGAAGGAGGGCACAAGAGACATAACAGGCAGGCCGGAGAAAAGGTGAGAGGGAATAACAGAAAGCAGCAGGAGCTGCAGGACGAGAGAGGCGGAGGAGCTTCTTACGTACCTCTCTAGCACCCCCAGGAGCCTGCACTGATTAACACCAGCTTCTCAGGGAGCTTCCTGTTTCCTGCTGCTTCCCTGAACCCATTTGAGGAGAACAGGCAGTCAACTGAAGTAGTAGGAACCAGTTAGGCCATTAAGACGCTGGTATCTTCCCTCACTCAGGCCCTGCTACCAGCCTGCTTATTTGTCCCCTTCAATTGAGTGTTGAGAGCCACTATAGCTGGCACAGAACAGCAGTCATGAGTGAAAGAAGAAAACGCCCCTGTGGGGCAGCATTCAGACAAAGAAAGAAAGCAAAGGAAGCTTTCTATCTAAGCAGGAAGGAGCTCTCCTGAGATATATAGACACAAATGTTCACGGTGAGCCTTCCAGCCCGTGAGGATGTGAGTGGTGAGGAGATGCCTGATCTTCCAGTTAGTCAGAGTGCAGGTGACCTGGCAGCTACTGCAGCATCCATATCTCCATCTCAAATGGATGTAACCATGCACATTCCTGAAGAAAAGTGTAGATCAGAGAAGAGTGTGGTGGAGGCACAAGAAACAACTGCTGCTGAATTTAGTTCCTTAAGTCTTAAATGATCCAGGACTGTGGACCCACTTGAGCAGTAGCATGAGGGACTTCCTTGTACTGCATGGGCCACAGCAAGTGAAAAACTTCATGTTCCCCAAAGACAAAGAAAATAGAATTTTCCATCCAACACATTACTGGAGTGAAATCCCCGATGGTGACAAAGTGGAGAGGCCATCGCTTATGTACTCAAAAACCCAGAAAGCTGCATACTGTTTTTGTTGCAAACTCTTCCAGTCTAATGTTCCAGCCACATTGAGTTCTACAGGAACAAAGGACTGGAAAAATCTAGCTAGAAATCTGGCATGCCATGAGAAGGCAGCAAATCACCAGAGAGCATCCCATAGGTGGAAAGAGCTTGGGATGAGACTAAGGTTAAAGGCCATCATAGATGATCAGCATCAAGAAAAGATTGCATCAGAGTCTCTTTACTGGCAAAATGTTCTGAAAAGGCTCATTGCCATTGTGAGAATGCTTGCTACCCAAAACCTAGCACTGCGTGGCATTTCAGATCAACTGT